AACTCCTGGGCTTTTGATTTCTTCTCTAAAATATCAGTCGGTAAATTCCTTAATGATTAATGATTATTTTAAAAGGCGAAACACTAGTAATGGCTTGACATGACTGTCAGGAAGTCAAAACAGGTCAGGAAAATCTTTTAATATCACTGTGGTTCATCTGCTTAAAATATATCTCTAATTTGAGCATGATTTGTAATCCAGGCTTTTTCCAGCTAGAGTTCTTTAATGCACCATTTATGTAGTTTTCTATAAATATTTAAAATTTCATCCACCTCAGTCAGATTTGGGTTTTTTTTCTGATACTCAAGTAAATGGCAGATGAATATTTGGGTCAATGTAAATACAATTATAAAGTCTACATTGAATATTTTATTTCTGAGTAGCTAAACGCTCTTCTTATAGACCCAATTGGTAGCCCTAACTTTGACTGAAACATGACTTAGAACCATTATCACTACTTCTAAAAAACCTGCTATATATGTAAAAATACCTTAGAAGAAAATTATTTCTGAAGTGCCATAGAGTGCTAGAGCTCATCAAAGATTAAGTAAAAAGGCACTTTGGCTCTTAAATTGCTTACACATTTTTTCTATTGCTACCCCATTTCAGTAAACAAAGTCTAATATTTTTTAAATTTCTGGTTTTGGACTCTCCTGGCAGTGATCTTTTTGAGACAAGAAAAGGAAGCTGAGAGTAAAAGATTATAATCCTTTTTCTTCTGTGGAGAAGATTCTGGCCTAAAATATTTTAATACTCTTAAATTGCCTCCTGGAACTCTCAGCATAAAGACTCAGGTCCTTAAGTCCTGTGGGTTTCCTGGCCTTTGATCGAAGAGTGACACAGTCTTAATGTTATAATGAGTTATGTTTCTTTCTTGTGCATATACTGTTCCTGTAACTGATCTCAAATATGGAAGCACTTTAATGTGCTGTTCTCCCCTCGCATTGCACTGAATTCAAGGTCTTATCCATCTGTCAAGCTAAACTAAGAGATTGCACAGTATCAATAAACTTTCCACTTGGAAAGGTGTATATGATTGTTATCTTCATGCTTGCCTCATAAATCAAAATTTCAGAGCTCTGTTGAAAGGGTAAGTTTTCATTTAGCTTTCTTTTGTCTAAACACTGGAGATATTTGAGCAGAGCACTTCTGTCTAACTTCAGCCTAGCTCAGCTTCACCAGGGACTTCTGTTCCACCCTTTCCCCTGAGAAGTGAAGTCATGGAGCTGTGGTTTGTAATCACTCCTGTGACAGCTTCTAATTGAAAATAGACTTCTAGAAAGTACTGCTTTTCTTTAGCTCTCACTTTTTGAACCATGGTTGATTTAAATACATATTTATCATGAAAGATTATATCTTTTTGCAAGTTTTAATATCTTTCTTGCTGTTCAGATACTTATAGTGGGATCTGGTCTATCTGATGGGATAGAAGGTTATTAGTGAAAACTCCCCTTGCTGGAGCAATTAAGATCTTTGATATTAATTTCATCTGAGTTCAGAATTTATGTCTTTTGGTATTTGCATATAACTCTTGTGGGAAGCATGGTGCAATATTTTAAGAACTGTCATCTTTTTAGAAATGGAGATTTGATGGGAAGTAGACCCATCATGAAATACTACAAACTGAGTATAAGGGAAGAAAAAGGTAGGCACTCATAAGTATATATGCATCTAACCACCATTTACTCTTGTAGCTAGTATAACTGAGTGGGAATAGCAGCAGTACTTTTTACTTCTGCAGTCTCAGTTTCTTAAGATTAGCTAGCTTAATGTGGTTTTTATGTAAGTGTGGTAGGCCCATTAAAAATGTGTGATTGCTTTGGTGGATTCTTCAGAAAGACTGAATTTATCAATTTATTCTTCCCCAAACACCAATCTTTTATTTCCCACATTCAACTTCTTTTCTTTCCCACTTCCTACTTCTAAAATTTCCCAGTTATTTTTGTACAGTGGGAAGTGGGCGCCATTTTCTGTTTTGTTTGTTTGTTTATTTGTTTTCCTGAAGAAGTAGATATTGAGAACATGGAAAAGGAGGAGTTGTCACTCCAGAGTGACCTTCGGTTACAGTGTGGTCAAACCTATAATTACAGTTAGCACCCAGTAAACTGAAGCATAGAGCTGACTCTGAGCATTAAAGTTGGATTTTAGAATTCTTACAGTAGACCTATTTTTTCAGTATTTTCCTCTAAATTGCATCTGATATTGATTAAATCATAGATATTTCATGTTTAAAGTAATTTATAGGAAAAATAAACTGAATTGGTAGAAACCTCAGCTGAACCTGGAGCTGCTACTGATGCCTCCAAAATATAATTATAATGTCAAGGACTCTACTGTAATGCAAAATAAATCTGCCATAAAAGGCAAAGGAAATGATATAAATAGGATGGGAGTTTTGAATTATGCTTAAGAAAGAGAAAGAAGATTGATTCATTAATTTAATGTTTAAATGCAGGGTATTCACATATGCGGTGTTAAATCAAAACAGTGGAAGCTTTATGGAAGGCATTCCCAGGGGTGGGAGGATTTCACACAATAAATGTATTTATATGTTATCAAAAAGCAACTTGTGCCAGAAGTTTGTCCTTTAATCCATTCCCCATTCCGCAGAGTTTGAATGGAATAAACTTTGAATATATTATTTCCCATCATATTTTGAAAGCAATGCTTAAAACATTATTTCAAAAATACATTTGCGTCACTTGGATGAAAAGGAGGGTTATGTGATACTAATTTTTTCTTTCTGTGTTCTGTTCTGCACCTCATCATTGGACTAATGATTTGGGAAAACCCTTGATATCTTTTCAAACTGTCTTGTGTGGGTGGGGAAGAGGCAAGTGTTTTTCTGAATATTTAAACAGACTGGATGTTTGATGCAAGAATTGCAATTAATAAAATATTTACTGTACATCTAGAGTATAGCAAGTCAGACTTGCAATTAACTTTTGCACTAACTATTAACATCTCCAGACACCTCCCTTTATGACTCTATCTTGCAGAGACATATTAATCTATGGAAGAGATTTTGCAGGTCAGACTCTTAACAGGTTATCTGTTTATATTAAAGATAAGGAATTGATATTTCTGACCAATATTACTGGTATATGTAATAATGTTAATGTAATAATGTGTTTAGATCTGTTTTCATTCACCATATGATTTCAGAGTACCTTGGATAGATGAAGTAGTTTATACAAATACATTTGGAGTTTTGTCTAAGTAAGACAAATCTGTTTATTGCAAGGCAGGGACCCTATCTAAGAATTTATTTGGAATCATGGTAGACATACATCATCTACATGGCTTTCAGGCATCCTGTGCAGGCATTGATTTTCCCTTCTTTGAAAATGAATTCCAACATTCTTAAAAAAGAAATTCCTGGAAATTCCTGGCAGTTCCTGGAAATTTCCTCTAGACTAAATTGTACAGGGAGCCAAACCTCTGGTACTTATATGAACCAAAGTTTTAAATGTAACATGGAGAAAGTCTCTAACTAGACTTTATAGCAAATGAGTTGTGTCTGATGGTTGAGTTCTAATTGCTGATTTGCTGTTGATGGATGAGTTCTGATTTTTGAGTTCTTTAAAACCAAAAAGAGATACCAGCATTTGAAACGTTTGTTGTCCTCATGCAGACTGCCTCATTTGTAGCCCAATCCCACAAGAAGTCTGTTCTAAAAAGCCTCATATTTCCCTAAAATTCTCTATAAAGAATAATTTCCCACCACCATCAAGTTTGTGTGATGGCATGCCTTGTTTTGGCCTTCTGAAATTCATGAATAAATACTAAAATCTGTTTTATAAAGATTAGATAAAATTGCAGTGTTCTTAGGGGAGTTGCTCATATTTCACAAGTCACATATTCTATGAGTATTCTCTTTGGAAACAATGAAAGAATGAAAAATAGATGAATGACATAAGTGACCACAAAGTCTAGTTCATTGTTACATGAAATGAATAACAAATGCTCATTGCTGTAACTTCAGGTAACTTATAGCATGATACAGTTAATGTAGGTTATATAAACTATTTAAATTATGTTATCTGAAAGATTTATTTTTATCTTTAAAAACTCTAAGATGTTCATTACTGTTTCAATATAATAGCTTTTTCTCGGTAGTCTTTGAAATGTTTTCGCCAGACATTTTTTGTGGGTATGTATGGCTGACTTTCATAAGCAACCATGAAAGCATTTCTGTCTTTCAGTTGTGCATATAATTGTTGATATCTACTTTATTTACAAGTTCCCATGTTTTAGCATGGTGTAGGCAGTTTCTGAATCTATCATTGAATATATTTCTCTTAAATTCGCAGAGAAAAATCAATGTTAGGGAATTTTTATCTCACTATTATAATATTTTTTAATCTTTTAATAAGGGCTATTTTACATGGATATTGGCTTCATTAGTAGTGGAGAACTGAGTTTTTTTGCATTACAGCACATGCATACCTGTAGATATGGAAATCTAACCTGTCACCTGAAAGAATTCATCCACCTATCTATAGGGTCAACTCATCAAATGATAAAATGATAAAAAACACATACATACTTCCTAACACAATTGATCACACCATATTTTCCTCCAAATTATGTAAGAGAATTTACATCAAGCATTTTTCCTCCAAAAAGATATAATCAATTAAAAATCACTTAATTAGAAATTTTATGTACAGTTTTCATTAAAAAGCAGTCATTTCAGCTTTTTACTTTGAAAACACCTCCCTCATTACCAATGTTATTGTTTCCACTTTCCTTTGAGAACATTTCTATACAACAATTCAATATGACATTTTCCATTTTTAATAAGAAAATGAGCAGAATTATGTGGAGGAAAATGTGGCACTTGGAGTAAGCTTTTAATTACTCATATATATCGGGCAGGTATCAGGTTGACAGTATTTCTCTTCATAGTACTTTCCATTTTGCTATTCTGCCGTCTTAAAAGCCTTTTCGTTTTTACTTAAACTGTTGTGTTGTTCCTTACAATCCTTCTGGTTTAGGATGCAGAATAGAAAACTGCGATTCCTGCTTTAGCAGAGACTTTTGTACCAAATGCAAAACCGGCTTCTACTCTCACCGAGGCCGCTGCTTCAGAGGATGCCCCCCGGGATTTGCAGCCTTGGAAGAGATTATGGAGTGTGTGGGTGAGTGTTCAGCAGCTCTTTTTGCCAGGAGGCCAGGTTCAGATACATATGTCACTATTTTAAAATTTTTGCTGATGCTTTTGCATTTCTGATAAAGAAATATTTACAAAGAGATTGTGTATGGGTCACTTTCCCTCAATAATACTTTTTTTCCAAACTTTGAAATAAAGTATTAGTGGAAATACTGCTATGTTTGTTGTTCTACACCTAAAGGGTTTGTGCTTTTCACTAGAGACCACCTTATATGAAGGCTTAACTTCAGAATTTGTAAGTTTTCAGGCCAATTTTTACACTTTTTTACACTTTTTTCACACTTTTTTCAAGATGTTCTTTTTACTGGTTTTATTGGATTTTTGCCCCTGTAACTACCTCTTCAGTTTGCCTTTTACCAAGCAGGGGATCCAGGTTCAGATTTTTCTGAATTTCTGTCGCATCTTGGCTTCTAATTCACTTCTCATTTCTCAGGAGTTCTCCTCTTTTTTGTTTTACAAGTTACAAGGGAACATTGCAGGAGCTTTTCATCCTCGCTCCTTGAGTCGCTGAGTTATATTACTACTGCAACTTACTGTTTCACATATAAACTGGACAATTTATTTTAATAAGGAGCAAGTCTCCACCATCAAATAAGTGGATTTTTTTTAGGGGAGATTTACTCTATAACTCTGAGCCAGCATTGGCAATTCTCATGGGTTTTCATGTGAGCCTCAAGATTTTGTCTTTTATCTTGAAGCCTGAAAACAGTGTCAAAACAGACTTTTTTCAGAAATAGTCCTTGCATTTTATGATGAAGCATTGCTAGACACTCTAGAATGTTGCAAACTCAGTTGGCAGCCAAATAATATTTATTTATTAAAAAGGGAAAAAATCAAGTCAATCTCATGATTTTAGGAGTGTTTTTGAATGCCTGGAATTCACCTCACTTCCATACAGACAGGCTGGTATTCTCACTGTTTTATGCTTAGACTGCTGATGCAAGCTGAAAAGATTCTTTTAGACAATGTAAGAGATTTATTTTGTTTTTAGTCTATTAATTGTAAAACTCATAAGTAGTGTTTTCTAATTATGCATTCTTGCTAATTAAAAAAAAAAAAGAAAGAAGAAGGAGAAACTAAGAGCCAAAAGACCTGCTAACTTGTTTTTTCTTTTGCTTTACTAGAAGGCTGTGAAGTGGGTCAGTGGAGTGAGTGGGGAACTTGCAGCAGAAATAATAAAACCTGTGGATTTAAATGGGGCCTAGAAACAAGAACAAGACACATCGTGAAGAAACCAGCAAAAGACACAATACAGTGCCCAACCATTGCAGAGTCCAGACGGTGCAAAATGGCCACGAGGCACTGCCCAGGAGGTAAGTGGAGTCCAGTCCTCCCAAGTTTTTGAGTTTTTTGTTACACAAATGCTTGTGTTAAACTTGAAATAAGAGCTGTTTCATCCCAGCTGAAGGAAAAATACCTTTTTTTT